TGATGCAAGCCGCAAGTTGATATATTTCAGACGTCTGTTCCGAGCATTACCTGTGGCATTTTGCCTCGCTTGTCACTAGACCAAGTGTCACCCAATCAAAACAGGCACCACATCCATCACGGTCAGCAGCTGGGCAGTGTCACCCATCAGCAGGCCAGGAGGCTCAGCACTCTGACAGCCATCGAAACCTTTGTGGAAAACAAGCCCCCGCTGCCTGCAAGAGCAGTAAAAGGACCAGAATTGCTGACTGGTAGTGGCAGCGAAGCTTCTTCCCCTGGAAAATGTCATCTGAAATTCTGAAAGCATCATCTCCAAGATTTCCTAGCCCAAAGGCACATCACACATCCTACACTGTCATTGGAGCTCCAACACCAATCCTGACGTTGTATTACAGTCCTAAAAAGGGTGAGACACTGATGTACTTCTTGAGCAAGGAGTGAGACAGAGGCTTTGGACCACTAGATACAACTTCCCAAGTGACAGCAAACATCTCAGAGCATCTCTCATTCTCAGTAATCAGCTTTAGCCAGCTGCCCATGCTAAGCACGTTCTATCAACTTTCATGTTCATATCCTCCACAATCCCCCTCAGATTTCCATCTAAAACCACCTGCCACAGAAAAATTACCTTGAAGGATGAACAGAAGCCAGACATATCCAGAAACAAAAATGAAAAGACTCTGGGTTTATGACTACAGTATATTGAAGCATTGAGTGGGTAAAAAGAGTAGCATTTTGATGATATATTTTTGCTAGTATCTTATAGCAAAGTTTTATAGAAAATTTCAGATATACCTGGCAATATCCAGCCCCATAAGGCAAATTGCAACTTTTGTTTATGTTCTCTATCCCACATTAAATGTTGGGGTTCTTTTATAACATACTAAAAGGGAAAAACATCTGGGTAGATGCATGTGTGGCCCAACATAGGTCTTTCTAGAAAATTCATCCTTTAAAAAGTGAAACACCAAAAAACCATAAAAAGAGCCATAGCTTATAACTTACAAGTGAAAACTTTGTATGTGAAAAGGTAGTCAGATGACAGACTGTGCACTCCCATGACACAAACATCAACGTTACTGTACCATCATTACAGAAAATCTGAGCACATAAGAACTGAAATAGCTGGAAAGTAACCAGTGAACTCACAGCACCTTGCCAAGATAAACATGGGGCCAAAATCTGGAAAAAAAGCAGTCCAAAATGTCGTAACAGAAAATAAAGGGCAATATGAGCAAAGGATGAACTTTAGAGAAATGCTAATTCTGTGAATTCAAAGAAATAAAAAAGGAACTATGGTTCCAGCATGTGTGTGAGACAGAAGGTTGAAACCCACACAAGACAATACTTTAAACTAAGACTCCTGCTGTACCTCTGCCTAAAGGGCTGAGCTGGAGAACATAAAGGAAGACAATGGCTGCCCATAACTTCCTATCTATTCTGGAAGGGTTTTGTGGGAGTTGGTTAATCGGTGAGGGCAGAACAGATAACACAGTAAGTTATTACTAGTTTGAGCTCTTTGAAAGCCTAAGTTTCGCCATCAAGAACAAAAAATTTAATTCCATTTTCTTCCTCCAGAATGCCCCAGTTTGCTTTGATGGCATGTCTGAAGTGGAACAACTTGTCCTCGATCTACAACTGATACTCAAAACAGAACCCCTGAGACACTAGCAGCAGTTCTGTGAATCTCACAGAAATAAAGCTACAGAGCACCAGGTCTTCAATATTTCATGAATAAATCTGACAAAATATTTACAAATGTGGTAAACATGAGAACAATTTCCCAAAGGCATAATCTGCTTCAAGCTTGCACGTGCTCGTGCCATTACTATGTTTCTGTTTTAAAAACTAGAAAACAAGAGCAGAAAGAATCCTTTAAATACAAGTTTGTTCTTTATGCCTGTACGAGACGATTATTTAATGGAATTGGGAAATACTTGTTAAAGATGACATGCAACTAGAATACAGTGCTACACCTGCAGCTATTGCCATCTGCTTCAATGTTTTTGATGTCTTCATTCTACTGCACCTATGTTTATTTAATATGCTGCTGTGCATGTCCTGTTTAACAGTGCAAGTAGCAACACAGCCACAGCAAGAGCAGGACAAAGTCCTAAAGTAAAGGGTATGACAGCAACAGAAAGAAAGAAAAAAATAATAAACAGGAATCAAATCAGAGAATCTCAATAATAAATAAAAAGCGGGGAGTTGCAGCTATAGGTTAGAGTACCAATGGTCTCAGGCTAACCGCGAGGACCGGCACCGGGCTGACATCTAATGCCGGGCACGGGCCGCTCCGCGCCCGCCGAGCACCACCGTTGAGGCGGCGGCCGCAGGCCGGCACACGCAGCGCGGAGCCGGGCCCCACCGCAGCCCCGAGCCCTACGCCAAGCGACCGGGCCCTGTGCTCAACGCGGCCACGGGCGCTGCTACCGACTGCCCTCAATCTAACACACCGAGAGACGCGCTGCGGCTCACAGAGGCGGCCCGGCGCTGCCGTTCTCATCTCTCGGTAGGGTTAACCCGCTACACGCCGACAGCGAGCGGTCGCCACCAGCAGCTCGTAGCCGGCGACAGAACACGAACCGCACTTGGCCATCAGCCCGGCGGGAGAAGCGCCGGATAGCGCTGCCGCGGGCGCCGCCGACAGCGGGGAGGGACGACCCGCCCGGCTCGGGGCTGCGGCGGGGCAGAGCCCCCTCCCACCGCCCCCAGCCCGCGCCCCGCGCCCGCCCGGCGCCTCCCGGGACGCGGCTCCGCAGGCCGCGGGCCCGGCCGCCGCCATGGCGGGGCCGATCGGCCCGGCCCGACCCTCCGGCCGCGGCCGGGGCTCCGCGACTTCCCTCGGCAGCGCAGGACGGGCCTGGCACGCCCCGGCACCCCCAGCGCTGTGCCGCCCTCCCCCTCCCCGCGCCCCGCACTCACGGAGCGGCGGGCGGTAGCGGGCGGGCGCGGCGGCGGCAGGAAGCGGCGGAGGAAGCTCCGCTCCGCTCCGCCCCCGGCCTCGGCGCGCCGCTCCCCGCCCCAGCCGCAGCCCGGGCGGCTCCGCGCGGAGCTCGGGGGAGCCGCACGAGTGGCAGCGGGGTTGGTGCTGCTTCCAAGGCACTACTCGTCTCCCGGGTGGGAAGGGCGGTGGGGAAGGGGGGCCGCCCGGGAGCGCACCAGGGCACACTGAGAGGCAACAGGTAGCGACAGGTCTGGCTGCCGGGGCACCCCGGCCACTGGGCAAAGGGTGGGGTGACCTTCACTTCTGAGTTTTGCTGAAAGGGCTGGAGGTGCTGCACTGGGTTTGTGCCCGTGGGCAGCGCGCTAAGAGCAGGTTTGGCAGTGCGCAGGGCTATGACAGTCGTGCCCAGAGGTTATGCAGCAGGGTCTGGGCCCTGCGTGGATTTTCGAGGCAGCCACCGAGGGAGGGACTGGAAGGAGAACAGCATCAAATGTGCATATCCACACCAAGGACAGACAGAGTAAAGCTTGTCCAGCACTCGGAGGAGGAGCTACTGGAAACTGGGTTGGGTGCCGCTGGGTTTCAGTGTAGGAGGCTGTACAGAACTGGAAAGTCAAGTGAAGAAGAGGTGAAATGGTGAGAGAGTCCCAAAAGGTGAAATGAAGGAAGGTGCTGAGGAGGAGTTGACTAAGTGCAGCCACGAAGACGAAAAGAGAATTGAATGTGTTGCTCCCCGCCTTTCCACCAAGTTACAGGAGTTTGCCAAGTTGATCTGTTCTGACCTCAAATTCTCAGTCTTAGCTTAGTGAATGCTTCCTATTTCAGCAAACAAGCCAGTATGTACAAGCCTTTTGTACCTAGTATGATCCGGGGTCAAGTCAAAACCATAAAAATGTTTCTTCCTGTGAATATGCATTTCATGTGACAAGTGTTCTGGTGCTTCATATTGAACGCTTTATGGTCCTTATGGTGATACATGCAATAAATGGAGATTAACTGTGGTCAGTATTTTACTACAGATAAAATATACAGTAAATTATACTTCAAAAAGAATTTCTAGAAATAGTGTATTCCATCCTTACCTTGTGGGAAATGGAAAATGCATTAAACCTCAATTCATATATAGATACACTGCCTCAGACAGACAATTTGCAAATGCCTGTCAAGGGGGCCATATGGAGAGGCTGGCAGAAGGGCAGCTAGTGAACCAGTTATATGTGCCAAGTTCAATTTGTCATATTTTACAGTCCCAAGAAATATTCTGTTCTCGTTTTGAGAAGGAAAACTCTCATTAGTAAAGATACAACAACCTACTCCTCAAAATGCATTTTTTATGAAAAGATCCAGCATACCTGCTTTTAAAGACTAGAATTGCTAGTATGTAACATACCTACAAAAGTATGCTGTAAATACAGAATACTGCTTTGAAATGTGGAACAGAAGGACCCTCATTTCTCCACTCACATACATCTTGACCATTTAGTCCTTGTGGCTAGAAGACTGACAGCTTTCAAAACTAAAACTAGGGGTTTGGTTCAAAACTGAAATATTCAAAACTGAAACCAAGGATCATCAAATCATAGAATATCCTGAGCTGGAGGGGACATACAAATTTCGAGTTCAACTCCAACTCCTGACTGTGCACAGTACAGCCACAAGAATCACACACCATGTGCCTCAGTATATTGTCCAAACACGTCTTGAAGTCTGGTGGGTCTGAGGCCATGACCACTTCCTTGAGGAGGCTGTACTCTGGGTGAAGGTTTTCCTAATATCTGACCTAAACCTGTGATGTAGCTTCATGCCATTCCCTCGCATCCTCTCACTGGCCACCAGAAAGGAGATTAGTGTCCGGACCACATCTCCTGCCTGTAAGGGGACAGTGACAGTGGTGAAAGCTGTGCAGGCCAGTGCTAAAATCACCTTTTTCTCCTCGGTGTAACACTTAAAGGCTGGGTTTTTTTAATAGGATTTGACATCAAAATCCTCATCTCTGTTTAATCTCATCGCCTCAACAGTTTGGGTCGGCTGGTAGAATTTACCCTGCCCAGGCAATGCAGGGTAAACGCTGGACGGACCCAAACCGGAGGCGCTGTCTGTGTGACCCGGCTGCCTCCGGTGCCGGCAGCTGCCACACGCGTGGCCACCCCGGCCGCGCTCGCCGCTCCCCTGCGCGGGACAGCGCCGGCCAAGGCTCCGAGCCCCCGCCCCTGCGGAGAAGGCGGTGTCTCCTCCCCGCCGGCGGGGCCGGGCATAGCTGGGCGGCAGCCATGGCCGGGCGGGCCGTCATGAGGCTCGGCGGCTGGTGGCAGGCGGCGCGGGCCCTGCGGGCGGCGGGCGGCGGCTGGAGCTGGACGGCAGCGCCCGGTAAGCGGGGAGCGGGGGCGGACGGGGATGGGTCTGCCCGGGGCGGGCGGGGACGAGCTTGGCCGGCGCCCGGGGACAGCCCCGAGTGGCTGCGTTTGGCGGCGCTGCTCCGCCCCGAGCCGGTCCCGCGGCCGGGCTGACCCACCGTGCCTCCCCGCCAGGCCCCACCTGCCGCGGCCTGTGCGCCGCCGCGGAGCCGAGCCTCTCCTACCAGGAGCTCAAAGACTTGAAGAAGGCCAACGTCCTTCACATTGACGTGCGGGAGAGGTGGGAGATCGACAGGTTTGGAAAAATCCCGGAGTCCATCAACATACCGCGTAAGTTGTCAACGCCGCCATGTGCAGGCATCGGGTGTTCGTGTTCCTTCTGGCTGGAATGGTCAAGTGGTGGTGACTGAGCAAAGAAGAATGGTGCTAGAAAGCTGCTGGCATGTAATGAGGCTGAACTTTTCCTCCAGAGGAATTAGAAGTCTTGCAATGTAAACTATTTGTGGATGGAGAATAAACAATAGCTTGTTTTCTGTATTTCCCAGTGGGTGAATTAATGGAAGCTCTACAAATGGACCCAATGGACTTCAAGCAGCAGTATAATCAAAACATGCCATCCAAGTCAGACCCTGTGGTTTTCTCCTGTTTGGCAGGAACAAGAAGTAAACAAGCTCTTGGTTTTGCCATGTCCTTGGGTTTCAGCAGGTATGACTTTGTGTGTAAGGATGGGATTAATGCTGCTTCCCCCGTGAAGCAGAACATGTACTCACCTTGTGAGCAAGGGTAAAAATTTACATGTGGAATATGAACAAAACAATTCGTAGCTGAGTTAGACACCTCCTGTTGTCTTCACTGAACCTTGAAGGATGCCATTGGGTGTTGCATCAAAGTGAGATGTACCATCCTCTGAAACAACCCCTCAGTGGCTCTGCACGTGTGCTGAATTGTTGAATTGCAGTTCTACCTGTACAGTTCACTGTTGACAAAGGATGCCTTCATTTCCTGTAAAGCTTTGGATTATTTGCCAGGAGTAAAGCAGTGAAGGCAACAGCTAACAAAACAATGAGATGATGATAGAGTGAAATGCAGCATTTGGTTTGCAGAATTGTTAAACCTATCTTTAGAATGTGCCTTGCTATCTTGAATACTGCAGATAAAATTTAAGACGTTGGTTATTTGCTCATGTTTTCATTGAACTGCAATATAGGAACTGGAACATTCATATTAATTCTAGACGAAAGTATGGAAGCACGTTCTCATTTCAAAGTGAAAAATATCCTCTGCTACCTGTTTTTCCTGCTGCCTAATTGAAGGAGTCAGTATTGTTTTGCATAATTGTTTTTGTTTTTCAGAGTTTAGTTTTGCACAGGTTGATGTCAGACCTATAGAGCACGTAGGTTTGCAAGGAAGTAAAGATCAGTGTGTTGGGTTTATTTGGTGACAACTGAAGCATTAGACATAATAAATAGACTTACATGTAAATCTCCCACTGCTGTAAGTCTGTTCTCTTTTAAAAAAGAACTGGCAACTGTTTCCTTGATCCAGCTGCTATTTCTTGCTTGATGTTTGAACTCCAGCATTGTCATTTGGAGGAAAAGTTACAGAACTCACTGCATGGAAGCAGGCAGTATTAGAGTAAAAGGAATGTCCATCAGGCTCATTGAAGCTAGGTACAAGTGTATATGCTTGCAGAGAATTTCTGTATTTTCTATTTTTTTAATCTGTTTTTTGGTAGAGTTTTTTCCTTTGTGGGGTTTTGATTTTGGGTGTTTATATTTTACTTTTGGTAGAGGTATTTTTGCTGTGTTCTCTTAAGAGACAATATTAAGAAGGACTCTTCTTGAGAAAGGTATCTTCTGCATATTTTCAGAGTTCAGCAGTATGCTGGTGGCTTTGACGACTGGGTAAAACATGAACCTCCAGAAAAGAAATGAAGATGACAGCCCCAGCCCTTACCCTATCAAGGAATCAGAATGGTTTGTAGGTTTTAGCAAACCACATCCCTTCCACTTCCATAATAAAGCTCACAACTGGCTTCTTGTGTAAATAGACATTCAGCTTCAAATTGCCGTATCTATCAACTGGTTTAAGTTATACTTGAAGACTATGACACAAACAGAGGACATTAAATTTGCTCAGCCTTTCAACCTTTACTTTGGGTTATGGTTTTGGTGAATGCATGTGAAAAGAACATAAGTGCAGATTATGTTTACTTTTTTGTATGATGTAGCTTATGACTGTTTAACTAATGATGATAGGACAAATAAAATTATTATTTCTCAAATACCTGTGTCGGGTAGTCTGTTTAGAATAGACAAACTGCAGATATCAAGGGGACAACAGAAACCCACTGCTGGCTGTGGCCTCACCAGGACTAGCAGTGCCTTTTGAAGATCATTAAGGCCAGACTGTATAAAGGATTTCAGAGCCACTGAAAATATTTTGTTAAATGCATAATTAATCATGCTTAGCTGTATTGATCAAGCCACCAAACTTCAGCACACAAATGAACAAAGCGTGCAGTCTACCAAACTAAGTCAGTACTTAGTCATGAGCAGCCAATGTTTCCTTTTGTAGCTACATTAACGTTTGCTGGGAAGACCTAAAACTACATAACCACAAAAAATAAGTTATTCTGTGTTACACCAAGATCTATCTAGCCCATTATTTCCTGTTTGGCAGCAACTGGTAATAAACATCTAACAAAGAGCATAAAACAGGACACAATCTCCAGGTTACTCTCATTTACAACTCAGAGTGCTTCAGGCTTTGCATGTCTTAGTATGCTTGGGTATTTGTAAATTTTCAACAGAAACTTCAATCAGACACAGCAGTGGTGAGAACTCTTTCCTTTTGTTGCTTCCCAGTTTGCCATCTGTTCTTTTCATCGGCTGCTCTGGTTTCTGTCAGAAGTGAGGGGTTGTCACCTATCCGTCTTTACACAATCCATGATTTTTCTAGACCCCTTCTGTATTTTCTGAACTGAGGAGTTGTGGGTTGGCTTTTCAATAATTGGAAAAGTACTGTATACCTCTTTTTTATTTTCCTTTTTCATTAATCATAGTAGTTTTTTGCAAGATGTTTCTCAAACTATTTGTAGTTTGTCAAATTAGATGATCTTTTCCAGTTTGCTTTCCAAATGATGGAGTTTGAGTTAAATAACTTGTCTGATCCAGTATGTTTCCTTTGGGATTTTTCCTTAAGTCTTTTTGGCATAGATGGCTTGTGTTTGCTTTGACACTTGAAAGGCACCTGTTGCCATATATAATCTGTGAAGACTTTCAGCTACCTCTCTTTCAATGAGATACCACATTTTTATGCACCTCTCCTTTGAAGTGAAGCACAAGAAAGGTGATTTTTTTCTGCCTGCTCTACTTAGCAGGAAGACTGTTGAATTCACAGTATGTTCCGTTGCCTGTTGTTCAAAATTACATCTTTTTTAAAACTGTCTTCACTGAATCTAGCTCTTTTGACTGCACTTTATTGCCTTTCACTGTTTTTACTGGAATCAAAACTGATAAAATTAGCCTTACCTTCCCAGTGGAGAAATGCCTTAAGAGATTCATAGGTACCATCAAGAAGTGCCTGACATTTTACCCCCGAAATTTAGGTCCCTTTGTGCTTTAAGTGTGAAGTCAAGTCTGCAAAGACTCCTGAGCAGCAAGAAAAATTTTAATCACTTTAGCCAGAATTCTTAATTAATTCCCCAATTCCAAAACATGAACTTTCTTGGCAGATTACGTGGTGTATGTGAGAAGACTGATGCTTACTTAAAGTTCCCGTTTAAGAATTCCACACAGAGGTCAAGATACTTTGATTTATTTCTATTCCCCAAGTCCACATTACAAATATCACATTTTAGACTTCAAGAAATGAAAGCAAAATAGCCAAATTCCACTTCATCAATCAAGTGTCTATAAAAGGTATGGATCAAATGGCAACCAAGTAGCAAAGACCAAAATGTATATTTTTTTCCACCTCATCAAAGTGTTTGGGGCTGGTTCACATAATGGTTTGTGGAAATAACCTGAACAGAAACAAATGCTAGTAGCCTAATGGGCTACATACAAAAACACTTCCATTATATTTCACTGAATGACCAGCCAATTACAGAGACAGGTATTTGCAGAAAAACGTGGGGGTTTTTAAGGGGCCAGTTTTTTGAACCAATGCACATCACAGAGCACGTTTTCAACAATCTCTCTCCAGTATTTCAGAGCAGTGAAATGTGTTCTTTCAGGAAAAAAAAAGAAAAGAACAAAGTTACTGAACTTTATCATTCAAATTTTATACTTGGGCAAGTTGGCATTATCATTCAAAATAAAGTTGTACAGAACTTAATTAGAAACAAAGTTACCTAAAAAATCAAGAAATCAATTAAGGCCAATTCCTGTCTTCAGTGGGATATCTGCCTGAGTAAGGAACGCAGGATATGGCCTTCTGTTTGAAGAAATCTCATTTTCTCCAGCGCTAAGTTAACCAAGGAATCCCATTTCAGTTATTCTAGAGTTGTTCCTAACATCCCAATTAAAATTAGCCTGTATGAAGCTCACCAAACACTTGATCCTCTTAAATAAACTCTCTAATGAACCCACAAATTCACACTAACAGTGAAGGCAGACTAACAGTGTATCTTTTCTACAAAAAAAAAAATCCACCATAAAAAATAGTAATAATATCCAGATTTAAACTTGATTGTGAAATATTCTGATTGTACCATACAGTACATTTATTTGAAAAAAAAAATCATTGTATGTTGGGTTTTCTTAATTACTAACACTTGAAATGTTTCAGAAAACTGCAGAATCACTATACATATTGCACTTCTCTGGTAAGCTGGGCTACTATGTATCATGGCAAAACAACCAAGTAGATCTACTGTGGAATACAGCTTTTTTAAACCCAAAAATAGAAACTGACTTTCTTTCCTGCAGCTTTCATTAAAACTGTAACAATATTCTCCACAGCTCTTCTAGGCATTTGTTTCTGAAGAACTGTGTGTTACTTGTTGCAAAATCTGTATTTTTTTTTTTTTAAATCAAAAAACAGAAGGTAATGGATAGATTCAACAAAGAGTGCACTATCTTCCTTCAGTCACAAACAAAATGAAGACAACACAAGTCATTAATACAGTTACACTTAGGCCTCAGATTACTGTCGCTCTAAGAATAGTTCACTTCAACACAAATAAAACCAATAATGAACTATTTCTTTTGAGTGAAAAATGTTAATCTTTCGCAGCTTGGTTTAAAGTTTGATTCCTTACACTGAAAAATCTTAGCATATTTGCTCCAGCGTCAGAGAAAATGATGTAGTTTTAGAGAAAAAGCTTTCAAAATGCTTGACACAAACAAGCTATTTATTCTTAGAGTTCTTTGTCAGAGATGTTACTAAAACCTTCTGTCCATTTCATGAACACAGGAAATATCCCAGGATGTCTTGAGTCAAAGTGGTCCATAAAGAAATTCTTTGGAATGCCTTAAGATTGGCTATAACTAGAGTTCTGGCTACCATTTGGACCCTGTTCTCCTTCACTGTTGAAGAAAACAAAAACATGTCTCTTCAATAAGAAGCATCACATTACATTTTTATCCATTTTTTTAAATTTAAAAATACATTCTTCTGAAAATAATCAAAACTTTTGGAAAAAAAATATTTCAACATTTACATAAACAGGTCAAAATATTCTGCTCAGTTTCATAAAAAAATGCAAAAGTTATTCTCAGCATGCATAAATAACTTCACCATATTTATGTGAGTAAAAATTTCAATATATGCCCATGAAGCTGCCTGCTGAATGTACTTCTGGAGTCAACATTGTGAAGTTCACATTACATAAGCATGTTCACAGGAATTTGCATGTGCAGATTCCCAGCAGTGATATTTAATCACAGTAATTAAACACGACATCAAGCAGGCCCAGTTCCATTGAATCTGGCCCAGCCATGGAGCCTCACACTGGGGTTCCTTACATTTGCTGAGCTGTATTGATCATATTCTAATCACATTAACACTCTCCATAAGATAATGAATGTTATGCTTCCCACTAGCTCCTGAACAATCAGGCTGGTTTTGTATGAGAAACATCTGCACTGTAAAAACATACACTATACCTTGAATTAAACATTTACACAGCCTTAAGATCGTAGTCTAGTTTTTCCATAGGAAAGGTGTAATAAGGAAGTACTGTACCTGTTTGGAGGTGGTTTTGGTTTAGGCATTTTACTAAGAATAGTAGCCATCTCCTTCCTCTCATCAAAGTTCTTCCACTGCTCATACAGCTTCAGAATAACCCTGATTATTTCTAAAATCTGTATTAAAAAGAAAAGAGATCCTAAGGTCAGACATGATAGTGATTTTATCTGTCATACCCATTTAAGTGTCCAATTAACTAAAAAGGCCCCAAAGTGAGACTAAACAACACGATTTTCATATTATAAACAGAACTGTCTCACACTTAATCTGGTCACAAAAAAGCATTTAATTAGTTTTTTTATTTAATTGTGAAACAAAGCCTGAACAGAATACTTTTCCTTTCAACTGTATTTACAGCTTCTCTTCCCCTGCAAACTAAATACCTTTTTATTCATTTATTTATTTATTTGCAACTACTGTCAGAGCTTATAACTAAGCTCCTGAGAACACACAGAATTGGGCAGCATGACTGCAGCTATACGACCATGCATCATCAATACAGTAATTTATGATTATTAATGTTCTATATATACTAAGGGCACATATTGTTGGAAAACAAAAGCCTAAAACCACAAAACATTCATTCGAACTCTTTCCTTCCAAGAAACAGAGCCAAGGAGTTTTTAAATACTTGTTATATTCTTATATACATATAATAAGAATTGCTGACACTTCATATTCTGCTTCTGGAAGCATAAGCATTCCATACCAGTTTGGACACTTTCTATCTACCTTAATTTCCTATTAAATTTCTAGTACAATATTCTATATAAAAACTGGAGAATATTCATTCATAATATATTTCATCATTCTCTTAAAGTAGACTTCTTTCTTGTTTTTAATACATGAACTTTGATTAAGTGCTAAAGCAATGTATTTTGTCCTTGAAACAAAAGTCATAGTTGGTGAAGAAGTCCATAGTGTTCATGTGAAAAAAATCAAGCTTAGGCTTTATCACTGACATGAGAACCAACAGACGTAAATATTCAAAGATACTCAGTATCAAGCTTATGGTAATTTTATCTATTAAATATAGGTTGGTTCTCCTTTGCTGCCAGTTTATTGTCACCCTGTGCCTTTACATGTATG